TTTTTCCCAGTCCGGCCCTGGGTACAGATACTCACTGACACACACAGCCAGATACACACACACACACAGTTATGCATAACCTCATATATACACACAGATCCATTGTCCAGAAAGGTAGCTGCACTCATGGATTTTAAAAGGTCAAAATTTTATTAGAAAATATTTAAAATAAGATCAACGTTTTAGTCCATGGGGTCCAGTGGGAGCTGGCATAGCTAGGCTGATGGTAGTCTGGTACTCCAGGCTTTCTCTGCCTCTCTCCTCTACTGCTTCTTTGCCTCCTCACGTGGCGTCCTGTTTGCTGGGAAGAAGTGAGTGACCTGAACCAGCATGCCGTGGGGGAACTCACAAAGTAATAGGGGCCTGGTCTGGTGCAATATTAAAGTGCCACGTGACCATGATTACCTCAAAGTAATGTAAGCATTGTTGCTGCACGGCCCGGTCTGACCCTTGGTGCTGCAGCCCACTTTTCAAGTGAGAAGCTGGGCATGCTCCAGAGCCTCTCCAAAAAAGTGTCGCCCACTGTATGTTTGTACATAATATTTTTTTTCAATTTTTTTCTTTCCTATTAAAATTTGCATTGCATGTTTCCACACTTGTGATGGATCCACAAGTTTAGGCTCTTCAATTATTTGTTCATATATGTATTTTTTAATCCTATATTGATTTTTTTGCTTATCACATTTTTTAAATACAGTGGCATTATTGACTGTACTATGCATCTAAAATGGTTTCTTTTTTATTTGAGTGTACTATTAGTTTTTTTCTCTAAAAAAAAAAGTATTTAAGCATGCAAATGTATGAATTCCGAAAGCAAAAAATAAATTCTCAATGTATATCCTACATATTGTTGAGATGTGTCATTTGGATAATCCATTTTTGGAAAGAATTTCAGAATTTGAAAAAGTACAAATGGGATTACAATTATTACTTATATGATGTTACATTAACTACTCAAGCAGAATGTGAAAACTGAGTGCCAGACTTCACTGACACCGTTTAACACAAAATACATTATGCTCCTCCAACATCACCTTAATGTTACACCAATTTATTTTAAGTTATTTTTCCCCTCTTACAGGTTGATGTACTGTCCAGAAAAAAATAGTTATGTTCGGATGGCAGAAAGAAATTCATGCTATTTACTAGCAAAGATGAAGACTGACAGGCTAATTACAGCTATCTATGCACCCATCCATCCAGGGAGGAAGATAATTTGTATCAAAGTAGGGGCCTGGTTAATTGATCCAGCCCCTTACCTTCACTACTTGGGTAGTGGGATAGTAGGCAATATAGACTATAATGTCCCAAATTCCCTAACCCAACAATAGACTGCCCAAAGGATGCCTACTTCCCTGGTTGTAAAAGCTATAGGTTCAGAGGGTACCCAATTCCTTTGGCCCTTAAAACATTTCACTTATTTACTTCTCTCAAAATTTGATCAAGAGATGCCTAGTCCCCTAGTGAGCAAGTGTTAACCCAGCCACCAAACCTCAGAAAACCTCCCCTTCTCCCTTCAAAAAAAATGGAAACAGCAATATTCTACAGAAATATACCAAAATCCTCTGGAAAAACATAAAATAATCTATATAATCCAGTCCTTTGGATAGAACATTCAAGAATGAAGAGCTCTACAAGCTTCTTCCAGCTTGAAGGACCTTTAGTGTACACGCTTTGTTGGCTTGCATAGCTAACTAATCAAAGTGACCAACCCCAAGCAAGACTCACTCACAAGGCAAGTACCAATAGAGAACACATGTAGACATATCAGTTTAGTTCATTAGCTGCTTCAAACTCATGAGGAAGGGAAAATTATTGTTAGTGAGATAATGTAAAGGTGGAACATTTCTAAACTTTTTTTTTTTTTATGTCCCATTTTTCCTGCTATAACACTAGAAATGTATTGAAAAGAATAATCATATTACTATCAAGCATTAATATATTTAAAGTCTCGGATAGGGGCTGGAGATGGAGACATACCACATGCTCAGAACGCAGCAGGGCTGCCCCAGATAAATCCCGCAACCAACCCCGAGCAGGGCCCAGAAAGGGAATCGGGTGAAGAACCTCAAAGCAAGGATCAGCTGGATTAATGGATGCCGACCGCAAGCTACCACAGCCGATGACTAGTAAATATAAAACTGGACAATAACAATAGAAAATGTTTAGCTTTCACCATGTCTGTATCATCTTTTTTTCCCTACTTGCACCTGCATAGTTCAGCATTTAGACATGAATAATAGCCTGACAGGAGTGAATTGTTTCACTTTAATAAGCATCAATGTGACCATAGCTCACGTTTTATACATGCACCTACGAATGTGTGCCTAGACGTTTAAATGTATTAATCATCATTGATATTACCTACATAGGCCTGCCTAGCTTATGTTTTCAATAGATGCACTCTCTTGCTTTGCTTCTTATAATATGTTCCATTTTATGGTAGCATGACTTATACTCTTTCACACAAAGCCGGCTCCAGTGGCATACTCAGCCTTATTTAACTATAATGGCCAGCATGTAATGACTTACTCGCAAAAGCGCCTGTTAATTTTCATGTACAACTAAATAATAACAAAAATGTGCATGTCTCTCATATACCCCTATGTAATATATAAATGTGGAATGCTAGAGGATTGCCTTTGGGGTACCTCACAAGCGAATGTTATATGTCTATGCACAACAAAAATTAAAAAAAAAAAAAAATATATATATATATATATTTAAAGTTATTTTTTTTTAATTATTGTGATTTATTTTTATTTCTATGAACTGTAAATGAAGACCAATAAACTATGTGATATATATTGTCAAGTTATTATATATATCTAAGAAATATCCAGTGTTAGCAAGTCCTTATCTGTGGGCACCGTGACTATTCTGATACACTTCTCCTCCACATTCATTCCCATCAGTTCTGCATTCTGCCAGGTTGTTTGCTGAAGCTCCTGTCACAGTGAAAGCCAAGGTGAATTGTATTACCACTCTGTACCATGACAGTACTCAATAAATTAATCTTCTTTTAAAGATAAAACCTCTAGAAATCACAGAGTGAACACAGTTTGCCCAATTTTTCTGCTTTCAAAAAGCACTGTTGGAATCTTACTTAAAGATATGGTACTTAATTTACAATAAAACGTTTAACGTTAATGTTTAATCTGTGGTTGTCAGAGAATGTAAAGAATATATATTTTATCAATGGTTATTTATTGTCAATTTATTTCTCATATATCACTATCGTTACATTATACTATCAGGGTTTTTCACTTAAAAGTACATTTTGATTGTAAGGCCAAAGTAACCAAACTGTGAGCACAGCTGACTTAGTAGGTCTTTCCGGTACGGCTATTGTGACCTTAAATTTGAAATTCACTTTGAATTCTCACTTTAAATAATAACCCTGCAAGTGTCATGTTTCTTCATACCACATAACGTCTTACTAGAATTCCCAATACATTTTTTATGGCTTAATGTTTCTTATTTGCCTTGCACATTAATTTACAGCAATCATAGCTGCTGCTTATGAGGGCAGAAGACACAAAACATTTGAGCCTAATGGCTTAACGATGATACTGTGAAAAGCAATGTCATTTTACTTGCAATGTTTGTTGCCTACCTGTTAAAAACATGAGATATTAATTTAATCCTATGCTGCTTTTGTTTGTTCTAACAACTATGCATGATAATGACCATGAGTATAGACTGTAAGCTCGCTTGAGCAGTGTCCTCTTTAACCTATTGTTCCTGTAAGTTTTCTTGTAATTGTACTATTTATAGTTAAATCCCCCCTCTCATAATATTGTGAAGCGCTACGGAATCTTTTGGCGCTATATAAATGGCGATAATAATAATGAAGATGTTGTCTGTAAGTGTTCCACTAGTATACTGGTGATGGAAGCAAGTGAGTTAGAAGAGCAGCTGCCTACAAGACAGAATTGCTGATATTGAAGATGAAAGTAAAACAGGAGTGACTCTGAAGATTTGTCATTAGATAATGCTGACAAAAACACACAGAGGATGGCACTGATAGAAAAGAAAATCTTCTAAAGGCAAGTGATCAGATCTAAAATCACCAGATAACCAAGAAATTAACACAAATATATTCAGAGTGACTTTATTGACAAAAAACATACTGAGGAACTGGCTCTGATGGGTTTTGAATGCTGCTTTCCCTGCTACTGATCATCTTCCTTATCATTTCACTTGCACTCTGATAACCTTGACTCTACAAGCAATGGTATTAGTGCCAACTCTCTTTAGCTGTGTCAGGTGTCTGGCTCTTGGCCTATAAAAGTCATTTCTTGTCTCTTTATCTTTGCAAGATCTTTGTGGTCCCTGAATACTATAATCAAGCTTGTTCTTTTTTCTTCTACCTGTTGATGAATTTGGACCATTTGACTTTAATGCTTCTCCTTCCCACTGACCTCGGCTTGCCTTACTACGATTACCATCTTTCTGTTCCAGTCTCTTATCTCAGCTTAAGACCAGACGGCCACTCAAGGCTTACCCACCTGGGTAATGATTGGCTACTACTGGCAGAAAACATTGCTGAGCTGGCTGCTGCACTCCAAATCTTTGTAACATCAATATCATTACAGAATAATCTGACCTATTCATGGATCAGATTCTGCATTGGCCCAGCAGGTTGCTCTTAATGCAAGAACTGTGCAGACTCAGGCACAGACCATTGAAGTCCTACAGGATCAGGTAGTTGAGCTGCAAAATGAAGTTTGTTAAATGCATAATGACCTTACCAGCTGCTGGGCACATGATGTTAAGGCTGCTGCTACTACTACTGTTACCCCTGCACAAGATGCCCACTTGCCCCTACCAGAAAAATTTGGAGGTGACCGCCAAAAATTTAGGGGTTTCCTAAATCAATGCTGTTTGAATAACTATGGTGTTACCTAACCGTTTTCCATTTGAAAGAGAGAAGGTTGGATTTACTTCCTCCCTATTCAAAAATGATCCCTGTCATGGGGCTCCCTTTTCTGGAACAGGACAGTCCAGTCTTGATAATCTTGAAGATCACCGAAAACAGGTCTGTATTGTTCTCAAGCACCTTTGTACCCACCAGCTCTACATTAAATTGGAAAAACGTGAGTTTGAACAAATAGAAATGAACTTCCTGGGATATGTACTAACTCTTAAAGATTTGAGCATGGAAGCAAGTAAAATTAAAGCTGTGCTGGACTAAAAAAATATGAAAAAGATATTCAGAGATTTGTGGGGTTTGCCAATTTTTACAGGTGTTTTAACAATTTCTCTGCCTTTATTACACCAATCACTGAACTTACCTGTAACTGGACCCCTTTGTAGTGGTCCAATAAGGCTGATGTTGCATTTTCCAGATTAAAGACTCTGTTTACATTTTCCCCTATTGTGGTATAGCCTCAGACAGAATTGCCATTCACTGTAGAGGTAGATGCTTCTGATTCAGCTGTGGGGGCTATACTTTCTCAAAGGACTGGACCTAAGATGATGTTACATCCATGTGCCTTCTATTCCTGTCAGATGTTACCAGCAGAAAGAAATTATGACATAGGGAATAAAGAACTTTTGGCTATAAAATCTCCCTTCACCGAATGGATACATCTCTTGGAGGGAGCCACCAATCCAATTACTGTCCTCACAAATCACAAAAATCTAAGAGACTGTCAACCAGACAAGCACACTGGTCCCAATTTGTCTCCGGGTTTAATTTTTTTATTTCATACTGCCCTAGTTCCAGAAATGGCAAGGTAGATGCCTTGTTTAGGATACCTGACCCTCTCCATACTACAGTTACCAAAACCATCATCTTGCTGGAGAGTAGATTTTTAGGAGTTACCATTCCTTCTGACCTAATGTCTTACATTAAAAAGAGCTATGTTGAAGATCCAGTTTTTAGTTATCTTCATATGACCATGGTTAATGGATTTTGGATTTTTCAACAATGTCTGTTTATTCCAGAATCAGTGAGACTGGACGTTTTACGTCTCTACCATGACTCAAAACCAGCAGGTCATCCAGGAATCCAAAAGACACAAGAACTACTTTCCAGATCCTTTTGGTGGCCTAAATATTATTAGGATGTTCAGTATATGTCCTCCTGTGATGTATATGCCAGACATAAGAGTCCTCGTTGGCTTGCTGCAGCCTCTTCTGATTCCTCATCATCCCTGGGGAACTATATCCATGGACTTTATTGTGGAACTACCTCCCTCTAAGGAACACACTACCATCCATGTTGTTGTGGACAGTTTAACTAAAATGACTGCCAACCAGACTGCTGAACTAGTTATTCCCTAAGGAAGTAATTTCTGACAGAGGAGTGCAGTTTACGTCTCATTTTTGGAAATATTTCTGTTCTATTCTAGGTATTAATGTACATCTGTCAAAAGGTTTTCATGCACAAAGTAATGAACAGACTGAGCAAATCAACCAGACAGACTTTAGAAAAATATTTGTGGTACTATATTAGTTACCTGCAGGATGAGTGGCTGGATTTTTTACCCACGGCGGCGTTTGCTTATAACCATGCCCAACACTGCTCCACTTCTCTGAGCCATTTTTTTGCCAATTATGGATACCATCAAAAGCTTTCTAGTGAGTCTCCCAATTACTACTTCCATTCCTGCAGTCACTGACTGTCTAACCACCTTACGAGATTCTCAGGAACTGTTGAAGGAGACTCTTTTGGATGCTCAGGAATGTTACGAACGAGCTGCTGATAGGCATAGAAAGAAGGCCCCAGTTTATCAGGTTAAGAGCCGGGGTCAAGAGATACACTGGATAACAGGAGACAGCAAACCAATAACCAGAGTCAAGGAACTGACACTGCCTTCTGGGAGAGGCAGTGTTTTATACATGGCTAACGAGACTATCCACAACAGGCGTACCAGGAGTAATTCCAATAAATGTCCAGCCCCCAGTGCTGGATACTAGACAGGGCAGGAATGAACATCAAGGCTGAAAGCAAGAACCGAATGTGGTTCAGAGGCAGAGACACAGACCTGGAATGCACAAGTCCCCTTTTGGGCTCTTCCAGGCCGACCACGTCTCGCTGTCTGTATGTTGCGGTGATAATTGTGACAGATATGATTATTCATTAGGGCTGTCCCCCTGCTCTATGTAAGAGCCTGAGCTAGAAGTTATCCAGCCCCAGACTTAACAAAGTTGCTGGAATCCCGACGCACTCTTCATCTTTCCAGTCTTGTGCATAAGAACGTTTCTGGGAAACTCCCACACTACCTAAATAGAATGCTCTCCACAGATGTTCCCGCCTCCTATAAACTCCAACCCAGGACGGGCACTTTATTCAGCATACTGCAATACAAAAATAAAATAGTTGATTCTCATTTTCCTACAGAGCACCGCAATTATGGAATAACCTCAGGGACACAGTCAAATCTTCATTCAATTTAAAATCCTTTAAGAGATCTATGAAAGCATACGTCAATGCACCTGTCATGTTTGGATATATGGACTACCTGTTACCTGTTATGTGTTAAATTTATATATGAATGTGTATATATTTTGTATTGTTTTTCATAATATTATATAGTAATTAACAATGCAGTGTTTGTGTGCCTAGGAATACTTGAAAACAAGAGAAATCTCAATGTTTCCTCCCTGCTAAAATATTGTATAAATAAATAAAAGAATACATAAGGAGTCTGAAAATAAACTATATCAAAGACATTTTAACAGTTGATAAAAATTAAATGTTTAAAATATCTAGAACAAAGAGAAAATATTGCCATAAAAGAAGCTGATAATGGAGTTAAATAATCTTAATGACCAATGAGTTTTAGTTTCAGTAAGATCAAAGAATATTTGGAGATGGTAAAACACATTCAGTTAAAAGGAGATACAAGTACGAAATTTAATCAAATTACATTCTCATATCAGCCTAACCCAATTATTCCTATTTTTTTATTTATTTTTTTATTCAGGTACTAGGTAGAGGTGTTAGCAAGGATCCAAAGAGAAAAAAAAAATACAGAAAAAGAAGAAAAAGCATATTAAGAGATAAAATAACAGATGAGATGGTCACTATTTTATAATTATTTTTGATCCATTTATCCCAGACATTTATTCCTATTTTGATTCTCCTCCTAAAAATTTGTAAGAGTTTACAATCACCTCCATTATAAGTGGTATATTTTATCTTATTTATCAGCCTTTATAGATTTGTTTTTACAGCAATATGCACAAGAAGCACATTCCTATATTAAATATACCACAGATATACTAAAACATTTAAAAAATATCAAATGGTAAAAAGACTTTAAACGGGCCACATTAGAAATGACATTATTATACACAGTAATAAAACATAATCAGGGTATTTAAATAGTCAAAAGTTATTTCTTAAATAGTCAAAAGTTATTTCTGGAGGATGATAATATGCCTAGAGATAGATGAGGTTTTACTTTAGAACGCATTTATTTTATTTTATTTTTATTTTTTTAATTATGTATTTTTGATGTGCATAAGTACATGGATATTGCTCATATACGGTAAAGAAGGTGTTTTGGGCAAATGCAAATATTGCACTTTGTCTTTAAGAGATATTGCAAACTTAGAAATTGAACATATTGCTTTTCATACATGTTTCTTTAAGCAATAAACTTTTACTTACTTTCAGTGCATAACATGTTTACGCCATTTTATGTCCTTGTATTTTTAGCAAGTTAAGGGAGGTCCCTAGAATGAACAAAAGTAAAAGAAGTGTTACTTTTTCATATATGAACTACGGTGACCCTAAAATGAAGACACCTATTATTATTATTATTGTAATGGATTTTATATGTCTATCTTTATATTTTTATTTAATAAAATATCTTAAAGACAAAACGTTTTTGCTTCTAAGGCAATATAATATATAATGTATTGTGATATAATATATTGTATTCTCAATTATTGAAATAGATGATCTCTTGCTAACTATATAAAATTATGATATCTGTATGGTTAGCCCTGTTAAATTCTGTGCTTTAAGACGTTATAGTGGTAAATAGGGAACCAGCTGCGGTTACAATTGATTACAATTGGTGCCCAACGTGGGACTTGTACTTGGAAGCTTTAACTATATAATTATATATATATATATATATATATATATATATATATATATATATATATATATATATATATATATATATATATATATATATATATATATATATATATATATATATATATAGATATATAACCTCTTATAAGTAAGAGAAGACACAATACTTTGTCATGGCACAAGTCTTGAAATACCAAGAATCTATTGAGCTATTTGTAGCCCAGACTCAGAGAGAGATCTTCATCATGAAAAGATGTTTTTAATGTGAACTTGTACAAGGCACTTGGAGTTCAGGTACCAGGTACATTGTAATTAGCATACAATGCTGAAATTGTGGATCTTAATTAATATTATAAGAGAACAAAAATACATATTTGGTAAACTCCCTAATATGTTTAATACACCAGCACAGCATGGTCTGTTAGTTCCAGGACAGTGGGTTGTAGGTGGGGGGGTCATGTTCTCTCTGTAGCTGCATAAGTTTGCATGCACAGAAAAAAAAGATTAATGCAAGATGTTGTCAAGAGAAAAGTGAGAAGACAAAGCGATGAAAGCAACACTTGCTATTATATTACTAATAGATTTCAAAGTCTAATTCCAAGAATGCAAAGAAAATTGCATTATGGCTTAATGAAAACATTCATGCCACAGAAGCAACAGACAGACATGATTTTTAATTATTGCATTACTACCTTCTGGATTGTAATATCCACTATATATGAAAACAGTGATAATTTCCATATTGTCAGTTACACTTGCTGTTGATTAAAAAATCAGGATTTATAACAGCATAACTATTTTTGACGTCTGGGATTTTCAGACAAGGTCGCAGAGTTAGAAACAGATAAACAATTCCAAGGAATTGAGAAGTTTTTTTTTTTTATATTCCAAATTATGAACAACTTTTTTACATACAGCCATAACGAGAAAGACGTGGCTTTTAAATACATTCAGTGCAGTACAATGCAGTACACTGCAGCATATAATTTATATAATATATGCTAACGATCTTATATTTTTACATAAACAGAGTTGAAATTATACTCCCCCCACCCCCTAGAAAATCTATTTATATTAAAAATATAACAGAAGGGCAACTGGTTGTTATACATCATTTGCTTCTCTAAATGCTCTGC